TCTGTCTGTCTGTCTGTCTGTCTGTCTGTCTGTCTGTCTGTCTGTCTGTCTGTCTTCCTCCACCTCCTCCTCCCCCCTCTCTCTCATCCTCTCTGTTGTTCTTCCTGCAGCCTTTAGGAGAAAAACCGATATATCGACAGAAATTCTTTCCATGAGGGAATCGAACTCATGTCTTCTGAGTGCAACGACAAAGCGCCTGACCGCTACTTGCTAGTTCCTATTTAAAAAGAAGAAAGAGAAAACATCAAGACGTCACCAAGACCCCCAGACATTACATGAAATTCAAAATCGTCCAAGTCTAAGTGTCCTCCGCATAGATTGTCCAATTCAATCATGACCTCAAGCATTGAGAAACTGTTTCAACTTCATAGGAAACAACAATGACAAGTCATTTAAGTCATTGCGTCTCGTTGACATTTTAACCACTGGCTGAAGTCAACTTTAACATTCAATCATAATGTTGATTTCAAATTCAATAATAGCTATCAGTCTACATTCAGTTAGAACTTGAATCAAATATTCCACCCTTTTTTCCCTCAGGTGGGTTGGTGGGTGTTCTAGAGTGGTATGCTCCGTTTTTCCGAACATGCATTTAATTTATCGTCCTTATCTCTCCTCCTCCTTTTTCTGTTTATTACTCTCTTGTAACACCTCTAATCTTTCGCACTTGTATGACCTAATTGTTTTGCAATTGCCGTAAAACGCGTACTTGAACATAAAACAAAGTATTTTCCAGTCCGTATTCGGTCTTTTTGTAAGTCTATACGCAATCATCACTTTATGTTAAAATTCAATCCCCGACTCAAGCCACGGTTCAATAACTGTGCACCATCATCTTGTACCCTGTGCTTGAGATTCGCAATCAATCATGGCGTTCTCCAGACATGTATTAATCTATATCACATTAACTCCGGTTCTTATAAAACGCCCGAATTCCCTTTTCTTTCACAAATTTGCAAATCTGGAGAAAACGTTTATAAATTACATATTGCAGATGATAAATTTGACGGTGTGGAAAAAACCAGGGGAAAGCCCACGTCATTAATCACTGATGTGAGGTGTACAGATTGGGAAGGACCGGCCGGGCAGGAGTTATGGCCCTTGTTTCGATATTGATTTGGTTAGTTCAAAGAGCAGCGGCCTGTCCACCAGATGGCAGAACCGGGGTTATCCGATGGCGGGTGTTTTCTGTGTAAACAACAGCTTTCCTTGCTGTGTGTGCGTCTGTGTGAAGGCGAGGTTTTGTGTGTATGATGCTCACACCCAAAATGGTCGATCTGACGTCATTATGCACAACAGGCGAGTCAGTGCGAAGACGAGACAACCGATCCGTCCCAACATGCCCGTCTCATTTTCTTTTTGGTAAACTGCCAATTTGGGAAGCTTTTTGGACTCTGATGACCGAACTGACTAGACAGAAAGACGGAAGTCAGCCACCCTCCTTCCCTGCCCTCGTGTACTTTCTCTTGTAACGATTTCGCTTTTGATTAATTTTACACATAAAAAAAGAGTGGAAAGCCAGCCTCCTATTGTCTGGAAACCATTCAGGAAATGCTTTCGAATTCAGAACACAAATTGAATCGTTTATTACTGTCTTTTGGCCAAAAATAGCTACTGTTTAGACGTCACTGGATATTGTGTACAATACAACTCCAAAGTGGAGGAATTCTAGGGGAGGAAGAGGGCGAGATCAAAGCTAGAGCTGCTTATTGCTTCGTGTAAACAAACACATGTGACTGCTTCTTTTTTGTAAGTGTTTTGCGGTGCTCGTATTGCATAAGGTCATAAGAGCGCGCGGGATACGTACGTTAAGCATTTTTTATTTGGTAGGGATTAATACATGTGGTTTCAACGCAATTTGACCGGCAGCTCTTACGAGTTAAAGTGAAGCAAAAAACAAATATTAATGTGAAAACACTCGGTCTCAGACCAATACCATAACTACAACGTGGGTGTCATCGTGACACAATTGATGAGGGATCGATTATAGACACAGGCAGATTGATGATTGTAAATTATCAGACCTGTTATTACGCAGTCATCGCTAGAAAACAGGTTATTTCAGGGCTGGGCTGCTGTTCTGCCAGGGCCAACCACAGATGAATAAGATACAGCTCCCAATGGCC